CATTGTTGTTTGGCGGGCCCAGGCTGGATTCAAACCCGCCACCTTAGGTGTATGTGGCTGGTGCCTTAGCCACTTGAGCCACAGGCGCCGAGCCCTCTTCTCTTTTCTTTTTTTTCTTTTTCTTCTTTTCTCTCACCCCCTCCCTCACTCCTTTCTCTTCTCCTCTCTTTCTTTCTTTCTTTTTTTCTGAGCCAGGGTCTCTGTTGCTTAAGCTAGAGTGCAATGGCATCATTATATAGCTCATGTACCCTCAAACTCCTAGGCTCAAACAGTCCTGCCTCAGCCTCCTGAGTAACTGTGTCTACAGGCACATGCCATCACAATTGGTTAATTATTTTTTAGTTTTTTGTAGAGACAGGGTCTTTCCATTGCCCAAGCTGGTCTTGAACTCCTGGCCTCAAGTGATCCTCTTGCATTGGCCTTCAAAAGTGCTTAGATTACGGGCATGAACTACCACATCTGGCCTGTGGCCACTTTCTACAGAGAGTAATTTCTGCAGAGAAAGCATTAGTTGTACCCTCAGCTTTGTCTTTTCCCCTCACTCTATCCCACGTGGCAGCTCTCTTCTTTGATTGCATTGAGGAATGGGGTTGACATTGACCATGATGTTTGAGGTAGATGATAGAGCTGGGCAGGGAGGTATGAAATGCTAAGTCTAACCAGAGAATAAATCAGCTCTGAATCAGCAGTTAAGAGCTGAGCTGGTTTTGATTGAATTTTTAACCATCCTCCCACCCCATCAATCTGGGAATCCAAACCTGAACTTAGACACCTTCATTTATATCAAATTGGATAAGAAAGAGTCTTGTGCACTAGAAAGGTAACAACTCCTTAGTTGGAATTATTGCTAGATCTATTGGTGGGTTTAGGAAAGAATGAGTTCCTGGGATAAATAATTCTCTATTTGGGATTACTTGTGATAGGAACTTCTTACAATTTAGGCCTTTTGCTCTCTTGCCCCTCTCCCTGTTGGGTGATCTTAGATTACCTCCCCATCTTAGTTGGAGCCTCGATGACCATTAACCATTGCTACATCCCATGTAATCATTTCTTACACTTATGATGGTGGTAATGATGGAATTAATTGCAGTATAAGTGTGGTGATGGGATGGTGTAACAGTAAAGGAGGTGGAGGTGCTGGTGGTGGAAATGATGGTGACAAGGGTGATTAGAGTAGGATGAGGAAGATGGAGCTAGGACCACTGGTAGTAGTGATGTGGTCATGAGGGCAGTGGTGGCAATGAGGATTATGTGGTAGATGGTGGTAATAATGATGGTGGTGGGAAAGGTGATGAAGATGTGTGAGCTTCCTGACAGCAAGGGCTGTGTCTCTTGTTTGTTATGTCATCAGGGCAGTGGTGATGGTGATAGCTTGAGAGAAGAATGTCTGTGATCTGAATGATGATGATGCTAGTCATGGTGGGTAATGGAGACAGAGCTGATTATTGAAGTAAAATTGGTGGCGGTAGTAATGGGTGGTGTTTACCACTTCAGGTTTAACGCTACATGTGATGAGGAGGAATGCAGAAGATGCCACCTGGAGCTGCTGGAAATAGTCTTAGATGATATGACCTCTGACCCATACCAAATTCCCACGACCATGCAGACTGTTCTTCCATATCATCTCATCTTCTTGGCCAGTGATCAAGCTCCTGAAACTGCTGAGGACTTAGAAAGGATATTTTGAGCCCAGCATGGTGGCTCACACCTGTAATCCTAACAGTTTGGGAGGCTGAGGTGAGAGGATCACTTGAGCCCAGGAGTTCCAGACCTTTTGAGCAAGAATGGGACCCCAGTCTTTACACAAAATAGAAAAATCAGCTGAGTGTGGTAGTGCATGCTTGCAGTCTCAGCTATTCACAAGGCTGAGGCGAGAGGATCATGTGAGTCTAGGAGTTTGAGGCTGGAGTGAGCTATGATGAAACCACTGCACTCTATCTAGCTCTGGCAACAGAGTAAACACTGTCTCAAAAAAACATAAAAAAAGAAAGAAGAGGGGAGGAGAGGAAAAGAGAGGAAAGAAAGGAGAGAGGATATTTTAATCATCCTTTAGCCTTGAGTTGATCTTAACTCTTATCCTGGTCTTGACTCATCAGTAGCCAATGGGAAAATCTCAGCAGGCCCCAACATCTGATGACTAGAGACAGCTTTATCCACCATTCCCGCTCCCAATAAGGTCAAAACATGAGGAAGATCTGTCACTTTAAGACAAGACACATTGTTGGGCATAAAAATCATGTTTCAGGGTTGGTGCCCATAGCATAGTGGCTACGGCACCAGCCACATGCACTGAGGCTGGCGGGTTCGAGCCCAGCCCAAGCCAGCTAAACAGCAATGACAACTGCAAAAAAAA